CCAGAACGACTTCCATGATGTTCTGTGTCTGTGAAATCGCAACAAAACTGCGGAAAACGTCACACAAGAATTACTTTAGATATCGCTCCGCAGCAAATCGTACGTGTTATTGTACTGACATTCACATTCATTAGATAGTGCGGGGTCCGGGGAGAGCGGATACAGTGAATGCGGGGTCCGGGGAGAGCGGATATAGTGAATGCGGGGTCCGGGGAGAGCGGATATAGTGAATGCGGGGTCCGGGGAGAGCGGATATAGTGAATGCGGGGTCCGGGGAGAGCGGATATAGTGAATGCGGGGTCCGGGGAGAGCGGATATAGTGAATGCGGGGTCCGGGGAGAGCGGATATAGTGAATGCGGGGTCTGGGGAGAGCGGATATAGTGAATGCGGGGTCCGGGGAGAGCGGATACAGTGAATGCAGGGTCCGGGGAGAGCGGATACAGTGAATGCGGGGTCCGGGGAGAGCGGATATAGTGAATGCGGGGTCCGGGGAGAGCGGATATAGTGAATGCGGGGTCCGGGAAGAGCGGATATAGTGAATGCGGGGTCCGGGGAGACTGGATATAGTGAATGCGGGGTCCGGGGAGAGCGGATATAGTGAATGCGGGGTCCGGGGAGAGCGGATATAGTGAATGTGGGGTCCGGGGAGAGCGGATATAGTGAATGCGGGGTCCGGGGAGAGCGGATATAGTGAATGCGGGGTCCGGGAAGAGCGGATATAGTGAATGTGGGGTCCGGGGAGAGCGGATATAGTGAATGCGGGGTCCGGGGAGAGCGGATACAGTGAATGCGGGGTCCGGGGAGAGCGGATACAGTGAATGCGGGGTCCGGGGAGAGCGGATACAGTGAATGCGGGGTCCGGGGACAGCGGATACAGTGAATGCGGGGTCCGGGCAGAGCGGATAGAGTGAACGCGGGGTCCGGGGAGAGCGGATAGAGTGAACGCGGGGTCCGGGGAGAGCGGATAGAGTGAACGCGGGGTCCGGGGAGAGCGGATAGAGTGAACGCGGGGTCCGGGGGAGAGCGGATAGAGTGAACGCGGGGTCCGGGGAGAGCGGATAGAGTGAACGCGGGGTCCGGGGAGAGCGGATAGAGTGAACGCGGGGTCCGGGGAGAGCGGATAGAGTGAACGCGGGGTCCGGGGAGAGCGGATAGAGTGAACGCGGGGTCCGGGGAGAGCGGATAGAGTGAACGCGGGGTCCGGGGGAGAGCGGATAGAGTGAACGCGGGGTCCGGGGAGAGCGGATAGAGTGAACGCGGGGTCCGGGGAGAGCGGGATAGAGTGAACGCGGGGTCCGGGGAGAGCGGATAGAGTGAACGCGGGGTCCGGGGGAGAGCGGATAGAGTGAACGCGGGGTCCGGGGAGAGCGGATAGAGTGAACGCGGGGTCCGGGGAGAGCGGATAGAGTGAACGCGGGGTCCGGGGGAGAGCGGATAGAGTGAACGCGGGGTCCGGGGAGAGCGGATAGAGTGAACGCGGGGTCCGGGGGGGAGAGCGGATAGAGTGAACGCGGGGACCGGGGAGAGCGGATAGAGTGAACGCGGGGTCCGGGGAGAGCGGATATAGTGAACGCGGGGTCCGGGGGAGAGCGGATATAGTGAACGCGGGGTCCGGGGAGAGCGGATATAGTGAACGCGGGGTCCGGGCAGAGCGGATAGAGTGAACGCGGGGTCCGGGGAGAGCGGATAGAGTGAACGCGGGGTCCGGGGACAGCGGATAGAGTGAATGCGGGGTCCGGGGTTTAGTGACACTTTAATGGTCACTGGGACCACCAGCACTGAACACCTCCCCTGTAAGCCTGGGGCCTACTAGGAGGCAATGAACATGCCCTGCCCCCCTATTAGAAGCCATAGTCATTGAGGGATGCGCGGTTGGTTAGGTTGGGTTCCTGAGTACCACTCCAGATTTGCATTCTTAGCGTCCTCCAGGGGCCCCTAGGACACACAAGGGGGACAGTTCTGGACATTTTGGTCCCTCTTATTGGACACTAATACTATACTCCTCAAGTGAGATAAGGAACCCACAGGACCACCATTGGGGTGAACAGGTCTGGGACATTCCCCAGCTTGGCTCCCCTCTGGCATGTAGGGGGGTCTTGTCCTTCCATGACAGGTCCCGGTTCTCAGGACTACCAGGTTTGCTCCCCCCTTAATGCAGGAAGATCTCTGCTGCTGGACAACCTCCACATCGTCCATTTTCTGCCTCCTCATGAGTCGTCTGGCCGTTGATTCACAAAGTTCTGCATTTTCCGGTTCCTTGCAGATTCCGGTCAATAACAGTATTGATCTGTTCCTGCAATTCTCATGGAATATCCGGGGACTCTGCTGTATCTGCACAGCATCTGTGACATGGTCAAGGAGGGGGGGGGGGTGCAGAGGGGAGGACTGGAGCGGAGGAGGGGTAGGGATGTTGTCTGTGGCAACCAATAGGTTGTTGGGATTGGTTGCCGTAAAAAAAAGTCTTTTGTTTTTGTAACCGAATTGTTACAAATGATGTCAGTGTGCAGACCATCCAATGTTCTCCTAACAATGAGGCTTTCCAGTCATCCCTTCTCTGTATTTCTATCACCCTTCTGACTTGTTTCAGACTTGACTTTTTATCGATCCAAAAGAAAAAAAGAATCGCCCCAAACGGCGCCAAAAACATTGTGATTATTTCTTGAGCCATGCAATGCAAGCTGCCAGGGGATGACTGAGCCGGCCTACATGACCCAAGATTTGGTTGTACCTCACTGATTATTGCCGGGAGGGTGGCGGTGTTAGTTTTTAGGCACAAAGGGATGCCCTACCCAGAGGCCTCTCTCCTACTGACTCCTCCCTGTACTTCTGACCCTTAACCCCAACACTGGCCTTCACCCTAACCCTTCCTGTAACCCCAACACTGGCCTTCACCCTAACCCTCCCTGTAACCCCAACACTGACCTTCACCCTAACCCTCCCTGTAACCCCAACACTGACCTTCACCCTAACCCTCCCTGTAACCCCAACACTGACCTTCAACCTAACCCTCCCTGTAACCCCAACACTGACCTTCACCATAACCCTTCCTGTAACCCCAACACTGACCTTCATCCTAACCCTCCCTGTAACCCCAACACTGACCTTCATCCTAACCCTCCCTGTAACCCCAACACTGACCTTCACCCTAACCCTTCCTGTAACCCCAACACTGACTTTCAACCTAACCCTTCCTGTAACCCCAACACTGACCTTCACCCTAACCCTCCCTGTAACCCCAACACTGACCTTCACCCTAAGCCTTCCTGTAACCCCAACACTGACCTTCACCCTAACCCTCCCTGTAACCCCAACATTGACCTTCACCTTAATCCTCCCCTTAACCCCAATACTGACCTTCAACCTAACCCTTCCTGTTACCCCAATACTGACCTTCACCCTAACCCTTCTTGGATCCCCAACACTGATCTTAACCCTAACCCTCCCTGTAACCCCAACACTGACCTTCACCCTAAGCCTTCCTGTAACCCCAACATTGACCTTCACCTTAATCCTCCCCTTAACCCCAATACTGACCTTCAACCTAACCCTTCCTGTTACCCCAATACTGACCTTCACCCTAACCCTTCTTGGATCCCCAACACTGATCTTAACCCTAACCCTCCCTGTAACCCCAACACTGACTTTCACCTTAATCCTCCCCATAATTCCAACACTGACCTCACCCTAATCCTCCCCGTAACCCCGAAACTGATCTTCAGCCTATCATTCCCTGTACCCCCAACACTGACCTTACCCTCCCTCTAATCTAAATCCTAACACTCCCTCTAGCCCCATTGCTAACCCTCTTTTTAACCTCACCCTAATCCTCCCTTTAACCCTTCATGTAGCCCAACCCTGACCTTCACACTAAGCGTTCCCATAGCCCTCACCCTATCCCTCTTTGTAACCCTAACCTTGGAGTCCAATGTAAACTTGCTGACCTCCTCACCTCTCCTCCATTGAGACCCCCTGAGCCAAAGGGTGACCATTGAGGATCCCAGCACTGGAGTCCAGCTTGGAAACCTACGACTCCACCGAACTGAAAAATCGGTATTGACTGAATGAACCCCTAAAAAGTTTTCTCCTTTTTTTAATTTTTGTACATGATGGAGATGTCTGTCACTGTAGAAAAATCATCTCCCACATGAACCTTCCATCCCGGAAAGAACAAAGTCGGGTCGGTATCCTCCGGTTCTGCGGCAGAGTCGGGGCCAAGTTCAGAGTTAACCGGGTCAGCAGAACTAGTTTATTCCACACAACCTGCAGGAAGACGAAATGATTACCAACCAAACGTGTTCTGGACCTGCAGCCTCATATGGGTTTGCCAACAGAAGAAACGGAAATGATTAAAGAGAACCTGTACAATGAGCAATACCGGGGAGAGCAATACCGGGGAGAGCAATACCGGGGAGAGCAATACCGGGGACAGCAATACCGGGGACGCCATTGCTAACCTCACACACACTGAAATGTTGGTATTTGTTGGATTAACCCTTTAAAAAGTTGTTCATGTTCTTCTCCAACTTTCTTTGCTTAGAGCGGCTCTCCGATGAGCATTTTTCATTTAAACTGATCTCATAACAAAACCGAGTGTAGTTTTGGGGAGAAAAATTTCCAATAGGCAAAAAAACACTGTTTGTGAACCATTTACAGCTGAAGTTTAGGTTCAGCAATATTTATATAATTACATTCCAACTTAGAGCAACATAAGCAGGGTTTATTTTTTCCAGTGAGATCATGGTGGTACGGATTATGGCACCTCTGGCAAGTAACATACACTATATTGCCAAAAGTATTGTCCCCGCCCTCCAAATCATGTGATTCAGGTTTTCCAATCCCCTCCATATCATGTGATTCAGGTTTTCCAATCCCCTCCAATCATGTGATTCAGGTTTTCCAATCCCCTCCAATCATGTGATTCAGGTGTTCCAATCCCCTCCAAATCATGTGATTCAGGTGTTCCAATCCCCTCCCCATCATGTGATTCAGGTGTTCCAATCCCCTCCCCATCATGTGATTCAGGTGTTCCAATCCCCTCCCCATCATGTGATTCAGGTGTTCCAATCCCCTCCCCATCATGTGATTCAGGTGTTCCAATCCCCTCCCCATCATGTGATTCAGGTGTTCCAATCCCCTCCCCATCATGTGATTCAGGTGTTCCAATCCCTTCCATATCATGTGATTCAGGTATTCCAATCCCCTCCATGGACACAGGTGTATACAATCAAGCCCCTAGGCATGCAGACTGCTTGTACAAACATTGGTGAAAGAATGGGTCGCTCTCAGGAGCTCAGTGACTCCAAGCGTGGTCCCGTGATAGGTGGCCACCTGGGCAATACGTCCATCCGTGACATTTCCTGGCTACTAAATATTCCACGCTCAGCTGTTAGTGGGATTATAACAAAGTGGAAGCTACTGGGAACAACAGCCACTCAGCCACCAAGTATTAGGCCACGTCACATGACAGGGCGGGGTCAGCGCATGCTGAAGCGCACAGTGCGCAGAAGTCACCAACTGTCTGCAGAGTCAATAGCTAAAGACCTCCAAACTTGGTGTGGCCTTCAGATGAGCCCAACAACAGTGCGTAGAGAGCTTCATGGAATGGGTTTCCATGGCCGAGCAGCTGCATCCAAGCCTTCCATCACCAAGTGCAATGCAAAGCGTCAGATGCCGTGGTGTAAAGCACGCCGCCACTGGACTCTAGAGCAGTGGAGACGTGTTCTCTGGAGGGACCAATCACGCTTCTCTGGCAATCCGATGGATGAGTTTGGGTTTGGCGGTGGCCAGGAGAACGGTACTTGCCTGACTGCATTGTGCCAAGTGTAAAGTTTGGTGGAGGGGGGATTATATTGTGCGGTTGTTTTTCAGGGGTTGGCTTGGCCCCCTAGTTCCAGTGAAGGGAACTCTTAAGGTGACATTTTGGACAATTTCATGCTCCCAACTTTGTGGGAGGAGTTTGGGGATGGCCCCTTCCTGTTCCAACATGACTGCCCACCAGTGCACAAAGCAAGGTCCATAAAGACATGGAGGAGCCAGTTTGGGGTGGAGGAACTTGACTGTCCTGCACAGAGTCCTGACCTCAACCCCATAGAACACCTTTGGGATGAATTAGAGGGTAGACTGCGAGCCAGGCCTCCTCCCCCGACATCAGTGCCTGACCTGACAAATGTGCTTCTGGAAGAATGGTCCAACCTTCCCATAGACACCCTCCTAAACCTTGTGGACGGCCTTCACAGAAGAGGTGAAGCTGTTATAGCTGCAAAGGGCGGGGCCAACTCAATATTGAACCCTACGGACTAAGACTGGGGGGCCATTAAAGGTCATGTGCGTGGAAAGGGCGGGGCCAACTCAATATTGAACCCTACGGACTAAGACTGGGGGGCCATTAAAGGTCATGTGTGTGGGGAAGGGCGGGGCCAACTCAATATTGAACCCTACGGACTAAGACTGGGGGGCCATTAAAGGTCATGTGTGTGGAAAGGGCGGGGCCAACCCAATATTGAACCATATGGACTAAGACTGGGGGCCATTAAAGGTCATGTGCGGGGAAAGGGCGGGGCCAACTCAATATTGAACCCTACGGACTAAGACTGGGAGGCTATTAAACTTCATGTATGTAGAAAGGCCAGTGGCCCAATACTTGGGGCAATATAGTGTATATTCTGGCAAAAGGTGCTGGAAGGTCTGTTTGATGCTGATGCTGGGCAATGTTGTGCTGCTGGAAGGATCTATTGGGTTTCCCTTGTGTTGGTGGATCTACTGTTGAAGGAGGAGGGTCTATTTTTGCTGGCTGCTGGAGGTTCTATTGTTGATGGGGGAAGGGGGGTATTTTGTACTGAGGGATCTGTTGTTGGCTGCGGGTAATCTACTGCTTTTCTTGTTATCAATAACAAATTCTATACAACTTACTATGTACCACAAAATGATACTTGGTTCTGCGTCCTCTAAAAGGATTGGTGCTCAGAGGTGGGTAAGGGGTGGAGACAAGGGGTGATTCGGGGTTGGGGGGAGTACCTGCACTTACTGATAGAAAAAAAGCCACACCTTTTGGGATCCCCGCGGGAATTGGAAATGCTACTACACCACTACTACAGTGATTGCTCTAGCTTCTGGGTCACATGCAGAGTGGCTGCAGTGCCGCATTGTGAACACAGGAGGTCGCTCGCTCAGCCAGCCTCTCCACCTTGTCCAATGATCACTATGCCTTGTGATGCACCTCTTTGCCAAAAATGGTGCATATCCATTTTCTGGAAAATTCTGCTGCAAATGGGTTGCCTTAAAGTAGTAGCAAAAGTCCTAGAATAATAAATAAACTCCACCTGCCTGGAGTTTGCATGTTCTCCCTGTGCCTGCGTAGGTTTCCTCCGGTTACTTCGGCTTCCTCCCACTTTCCAAAGACATGCTGGGAGGTTAATTATCTCCTGTCTGCATTGTCCCCAGTATGTCTATGTATGAATGTGAGTTAGAGACCTTAGATTGTACGCTCCTCGGGGGCGGGGACTGATGTGAATGTACAATATATATGTAAAGCGCGGAGTACATTGACGGCGCTATATAAGTACCTGAAATAATAATAAATACATTTTAATTACATTTATTTAAAAAACAAATTTATAATTAAATGTACATAAATTGGCTTCCCTCCTGTTCAGTTTATCCGTATTCCTCTCTGAATTTCCAGCATTCTTCTTCTTGCATCAGGTCAGCAAAGTATTGGAAATGTCATTTGATTGTTGTGAAGCGAGAGGCTGAGGCACATGGTGGGTCGAGGGTGTCAAAAATGATGCACGCGGTAATTTCGAGGCGATGCCCCATTCAGAAATCCTCTGTGATTCTTGTCCTCGGCTCCTCGTGTCTCAGAAATGTCTTCATTCTATTTTATCCTTTTCTTTTTGCCTGCGGCGGCCGTGTGTTCGGTGGTTTGGGCTTCCCCCATTGTGGTCACTCAGACTTGTCCTGACTTGTTGAACAGATCAGACCGATCTTCCAAGAGCAACTTATTACTAATAACCTTTGGATGGGATGAGCTCATTGGCCGAGGGCAGGAAAATCCCTCTTCAATAGATTGTTACATGGGAATTTACCGTCTTAAAGTGACACTAAACTGTTTAAAAAAAAAAAAAAAAAAAATGATTCAACTCTGTATTCATAAATCTGAAAAGTCCCTTCTGTTATCAGTCTCCCTAATCTCCAAATTCTTTTTATTTTATTTTTTGCTGCTGTGATCCAATTGTACTGTTAGAGGAAGGTTCCATGCTTCCACTGTATGTAGCAATGTGGCCACCCTCTCTTGATTGCTCCCGAGATGGGCTGTGGCCTCTGGGCTAGAGGCTGTGTGCTAACAGCTGTGGGCTTTGGACTACAGGCTGGGGGCTGTAGGCTAACAGCTGTGGGCTTGGGGCTTGGGGTTGTGGGCTTGGGGCTGTGGGCTCGGGGCTTGGGGCTGTGGGCTCGGGGCTTGGGGCTGTGGGCTTGGGGCTGTGGGCTCGGGGCTGTGGGCTCGGGGCTGTGGGCTCGGGGCTGTGGGCTCGGGGCTGTGGGCTCGGGGCTGTGGGCTCGGGGCTGTGGGCTCGGGGCTGTGGGCTAACAGCTGTGTGCTCCGGGCTCGGAGCTATGTGCTCAGGGCTGTGGGCTCAGGGCTGTGGGCTGGAGGCTGTGGGTTATGGGACTTGCAGTGTGCATAGAGAAGTTCTCATGACTACAACCATCATGCTATGCTTGTTCTAAACAAACAGAAATGAGAGAGAAAGGAGAGGTTCGGGAGCTCACAGAGTACAATACAAGGAAGCAGAAAACATCGTAAAGAACAATTTTTATAAAAAATAAATTACAGGCCATGAAGTAGTGGATGTGTATGGATGACTTATGGAGAAAAGGTATATTCAATCTCCTAGATTGTAAGCTCCCAGGATCAGGCCCTCCTATCCCTCTTGTATTGATCTGTATTGTCTCCCGTTATATTGTACAGAGCTGAGCAAACTGTTGGCGCCATAAATCCTGTATTATAATATTGATAATGTCACTTTGTATATCTGTAGACGATGACATGGCCCAGGCATGATGAATAATGAAGCCCATCTGTACAGGCGTGACTCTTTGCCTGTTTATTTTAGTGCATTCTGCTGCTCGGAGGCATCACGACTTTTGACTTTTTATGTTGAACGACTTTTTCAGCAGCCGAGAGAAAGGAGCGTCTGTTTCATGTCTCCTGAGCCAAGAGTCTTCTGACTCCTTTTGATGTCTATCTTCCCTGCCTTTCCTATGGTTCTCTAACTGAATTCAGCCACAAATGTCCAGATGTGGACAAAAGAGAAAAAAAAAATACAGAAAAAACTCGGACGTTTTAAAGTAGATCTAAAGCCAAAACTTTTTTTTTTTTTTTTTTTTTTTTTTTTTTAGTTTTGCTTTATATCATACATTTTTACTTGGTGCATTGGCTGGTGAAGGGTCCATGCCGCCCGTTGCTCAAATTTTGCTCCTTTTTTGGTTTGCAATGACTACTCAAACATTTTATAGTCCATAACTATAGGCAGATGATGGACACCAATAGGACCACTTATGCTGGACACCATTTTGGCCAGGCACAATCTAAAATCGGGATTTTTAATGATGTAGACTTTTCTTCTAGTCATAGGTGCAGGGGTGGACTGACCTTTTGGAAACTCGGGCACTGCTTAAGGACCCGGGGTCAGTAGGGGGCCCCATGAGATACCCCTGGTACCTTCTTTTTTCATAGGCTTTTTTGAGTTTGGGCAAGGACACAAGGGCCCCATGATCCCCTATTGCCCGGGGGCCCCATGAGTTGTCAGTCCGCCCCTGCATAGGCGCATAGTACAGGAGAACAAAGTTAGTGTTCCTGATATCTGTGTGCATCAATCTAATCCTGTTCTTTTTTTTAATATACAGGTAGTTCCTGAGACAAGGTCTGCTGGGCCAACCATCTGAAGAAGGTCATCATTTTTAATTGACAATGGCTGAAAACCTTGAGGATAAAATCGGTGATCTTGACGTGAGACCTAAAAGCAGTCGCAGTCGAAGCGCAGACAGGAAGGATGGGTACCTTTGGAGTGGCAAGAAGCTCTCCTGGTTGAACAAACATGGATCGGAAGGAGATACTGAGATTGTGGCAGAGAAGGCTGAAGGCCCATCAAATAACCAAGAGAGGAAGCACAGTTGTT